ACTAAAAGGATAAGATGTTTTTAAAATTTTATATACACTGACATTGAAATGTAGAAAATATGTCGAATGTGATAATATACGAGAGGAAATTTCCGCCATGCACCTACAAAACTACGAGGGAAAAATTTCATGTTCCAAGCGGTGAAAGAATCATTAATTCAAATACACAAATATGTTTCGCTGCGGACATCTAACTCTTCGATCGTATCTTGTCGTAACGAGATTTTCCCCGTTGATGTCAATGACTAGAACTGGCATTACATTGATACAATGGTTTTCGGAGGATCTACATATACTGACTGATCATGAGCTTCGATGAACTGGTTTGACTTGGTCGACGCTAATTATACCCTGCTTTATCTGCTCTATTAACAACATCATTTCTTCTGACCACATGCAATATAACAGAGTAGGCCGGCAGTGAACGACGCGGTTCATTATCACTTGCAATGAAATCATGGGTAATCCCAGTCGTTTTTTTATATTTATACCCATTGTTGATTTCATTGCGGATTGCTAACAGATGTTCCAACCATCTCATCAATCGATGAAGCTTCATTACATCATCTATTGATCTACCATCCTTACCTAGGATCCATTTCCTAACAACTGAAATGCTGACTCGGTACTCCAAAGATTAATGAGTAGTGTTCCGGTGACAACTATGACAGAATACGACGAATATACTCTAATCGTCAGTTATCTGGCTAAGGGCACTGATAAGACTGCCGAAATAAGTGAAGTGGTCAACATTCTCAACTACTTGACTCCTTATAACTAGTTCAGATGCCGTTGTAAATCAATCTTAGTGAAAAATTTTGCATTTGCTCTAACTCGACCAGTTCAAGCAGAGAGCTTGTATAAGGTCAATGTACTTTTGTCCTTTCTTATAGACTGGGACAATTAGTGATTGAGACCAGTCAAATGGGATTACGTCCAGTCCCCAGATTCTACCTAAGGTTGCAGTCAATCTAACCGTTAAAACTGAACCACCATCCCTAAAAGTCTCAGGGGTCAATCTATCAGGACCCGCTGCTCTCCCTTGCTTCAGATTTCCTATCGCTTTCTCAACTCCATAGAATCGGACGACTTACATCGATTCGCCATTCAGGATTATTGGAGATCGTGGGCAACGGAAATGTGGCTGAAGGCCAGTCGAACTAATCCTTCAAGTGCTCTACCCATCGGTCCGATATACTGGATTGAGAATGAATAATAGGACCATCATTTTTAGAGATAGTCTCACTTACAGTTGGAATCCTAATACCGGTTTCCCTGAAAAGTCTGAACAGTTGTATGCTGTTGCCTAACGCACGGTGAGTTTAGAGTGTGGATTTGGCGCATGTAGGTAAGCCGTATCATCGATTCTGAAATGGAGATGACTAGGCAATGCAAGTTAACTAGCACACACGTAACAGTCGATGCTTAAATTTCACGCTTTATTACATTCACTTAAGTGTAGTTGGTAGCGGCCCTTTGAACTATATTACTCAAAAAAAAACAAATATATGTCCATGGAATCTTGCAATCTAGTTGGCGGAATGACAACCTTATCCCCTATTAAGGTGAAAGCACGGGTGTGCTTTCATGTAGCCCAAAATGACCAAATCTGTACTCATCAAGATATCACAAAAATATTATGTCTGATTCAGACTTAGTTAGGGCATATGCTTTTCAGATGGTAGTAATTAAGCTGCTTAATGTAAGTTGTTTAAAGTAAATGTGCTTCAGAGCCCGACAAACAATTCAAAGGTCATTCGGAAGAAAATCTACTGACATTACCCTATAGTAACCTTACTTATCGGGTTCCAAGTCCTCTCATTTGCTCCCGATGTCCTGAGAAAGGCCACCAGACTATGGCAAGTAACTCTTGATAACAGCTCTCTAGATTCCGATTGCCAACAATTTTCTGATACAAACGTGATTCGCTCAACAACTACTTTCTTTGAATGCCACATAGAATCATACAAATCAAGGATTTGTCTATAGGTTGTTGAAGAATATTAAACCGTAGTGATTCAAGAAAACTGAGAAATAATATCGAAGTTTGGTGGTTAGTTTATATCTGTCAGGAATTCAGAAAACAGTTTCCTTCTGCCTGAAGTTTGAGTTTATACCCTCATCCACTTTTTCTGGGTGTCGACTATCCAGTAGATATTTCCTTTGGACGGGGGATGGACACGATCGTACCGATGTCTTGACTTATCCATATATTATTTGTTACTTATCAGCAATCATACACAGATTAGATTCAAAGGGAAGTAAATGGGTAAATCAACGATATAATTATCCTCGTTAATAATCTCCAGATGAGGCAATTCGCATTGTTATTTATCCTTATATCCGCGTGGATATTCGAAAATTCTTCGATTCCTACAGTCAAAATTTATAAAGAGGATGACGAAATTAGAACTTTGGGATGTAAGAAAAATGCATTCAAATATCTAAACTATGAGCTAACCGATCCTTCTCGATGTTCTCTCTGAAATCACATAGGGATTCGGATGCGTCGTACGAAATTAAATAGAACGTTCGAAAGCAAGGAAGTCACAACATCAATAGTTCCACAGGGGATCACCTTCGGTCCATCTTTTCCCGGATATTATAAGTTGCCTGTTGGATTAAATTAGCCCAGACGCTTCAATCAATGCAAATGAAACTAAGATTTCGAGGTCCGTAAGTAGGGATAAGGATTAATTTGAGCTCCAAAAGAACCCTACAACAATAGAGGGATGCGCAGAGGACAATGGGTTAAAACTAAACTGGTCGACGTATCACGTCATAAACATTCTACTAAATGTGACAGAAACTACTCACGTCTTTCATGGAAGTTCACTCCCGAATGTCTCCTCAGAGCGCGAGTTCGGTCTAGCAAACAGTGTTTAGACATCAGTTCAAACCACATTGGAGATGGTGTCGAAGGGAAGATAACTTCGTGTTATCGACCTAGAATGGTTTATAAATCTTTTCAAAACATACGCGCGATAATGTTGTCACATGCCCCTCACTTCAAGTAAGAAATCTCTGTGAGTGTAGGGATGGGCAACCAGGTAGGTGATATGTTCCAAGAGTAAATCTTACGAAGACAAATTCCGAAACTTAAGACAATTCTCACACAGTTACGGAAGAATAAGAAACGGTTTGAAAATGGCTTGCAATATATGAGGCAATTCTTGAAAAATATCCATCAAGGAGCAAACAATCAGATACACTACCACTTTTTCGCATCTAGAGTTGTTCTCATTCTGAATGCTCTGCCGATCACACTCCATCAGTGAATAGCTTTCAGGGCAGATTCAACAAAAAACAAGTTTACACATAGATTACTACTGCTTGGACTAGCTAGCTGTGTTTGATGTACATGTCGAAAGTTGACTGTCATTATCATTAGAAGTACCTCAAATCATTAATTTATTCTATCTTGCTTATTATCATCTCTGTCTTCTCTTTAATATATCTGCACTACCAGTTAAATCAGTGGTTGATTTCGTTTTTGAAACACTGAATTCGTGTTGCAGTCAGACCACTGAGCAATGCCACAAACTGCGCTTTCACACTCAGTCTACAAAGGCTACTGACTATGGGCATTTAACCGTATATTTTGCCAGTAACTCTTAACAACAGCTTTTGAGACTTCTGCAACCAATAATTTTCTAATACAAACGTGATTCACTCAGTAACTACTTTCTTTGAATACTACATAAGACTACATAAATCAAGGTTTTGTCTATTTGTTATCGGAGAATAAAATAATTGGACAGGTGAGACTCAGGTGGCAGATATTTCAGAGGTTATCAGAGATAATCAGTTTACTGAACTCAAACCTTCGATAAGCAAAATAGTAGAGGTACGTAGGACATGCTTAGTCAGAAATTGGAAACTGATTGAACGAGAAAACTACTTCATCAAACACTTATTATGGTTTACGGTGAGCCTAGAAATATCTTTTCGTTAAAGGAAACTGTACCACGTGTAATTAATGCAGCTCGGATTATCAACAAGTTGGTTTGAGGAAACTCAATTGAAATAATAAAATATCTGGACAGAGAAGAAACCTGAGTAGGATGTTTCTGAGTTGACATTGTGTTCGAGTGCACACATTCTTAACTAGACAAGTAAACCTTTCCAATCCTACAAAAACCAGCTCACTAAGCTGTGGACAATCGGTAACGGTTATTGCAGTTCACATCACATTGGAAACAGATACTGAATCTCTTACCGTTCGCCAATAGTGGTACTCGGAACATCCGACTAACTGCCATCAGCAAAAACAAAGATCTCAATAAATATTAAATTATTAATGGCCATCCAGTTGAATGGTTAGGGGTGATCTAAGCCATGTTGGTTGAGAAAGCGAACTTGTTCGCTGTCTTGAACAGAGTAAGCTCATTCCCGTGCTTATTTGGATATGAAATATGATCGACAGACTAATGAACTACAACCAGTTCACTGGAGAATTTGATGTATGCTGATTCATTATCGTTAAGTAGTTTGAAGCTCAGCGGTTTGACTTCTGATAAAATGAAAAAACACGTAACACGTGGGATATTAGCATACATTTACAATTGTCTGATATGCATTGATTAGGCCACATATGTTGTTTTTTATAGGGAATGCAATGACTGACGTATCACGTATTGTGAAATACGTACGTGTTCGTTATGATTTTCCGTATCGATAAACACTTAATCAGTAGTTAAAAACATCAACATATGAATTTAGTGCTTATTATACACTGAATACCAGGTTTGCCTTAATGCGTTTGTATCGGCTGAAAGAACGTACTAACTTCTTTTCAGATATTAGAACCTCAAGTGAAGATAATGCACTGTATATGAAAAAGGAACCAACTAAGCGCCATAACAGGAATTGATGTTAAATTAGGTTGTGCTTAGGTACTAATTTATTCTTTTACAGAACAAAAGATAGGACTCTTGTTGAAAACAAAGCTTCAGTAAGGGACCTATGCGATAATAGTAAACAAAAGTAAACTTTGACATACTGTAAAGAACAATTTTATTATTTAATGATTTCAACAAGACCATTTAGAACTGTTGGCTAGTGCTAAACTGGCCAACACTTGTCTACTTTGAAGTACAAAAAACCTACATAACTCAGTCAAGTAACATGGTTTTGCGTATGTTAACATACACTTCTTTTAGCTCCTTCCATTTTAGAGCCATACTGTCCATCATTTCATTGGCACCAGGGGACTTTGGTGTCATAGATTTTCCTTTTGCTAAAAGGATATTTAGTTCTTTTTCCAAAACATCAAATCGTTTAAGCAGGTCAGCATTTTCTGGTTTATTCTTAATTTCATTCCACTTTTTTTCTCGCTCTTCCTCGTACATTTGTTCATCAACAAGAAGGAACCAATGACCACAGAAGCAACGTGCAGGGAGATTACGATACAAAACCAGATGTTTTAAATGATGGTCGTGAGGACTACCTGTAAACAGGTAATAAGAAACATTTAACCAATAAAACATTGACCATAGTATCACAGCGACAACTGTTGTTCTTGCACATACATTTAAGGGGTTCATATGGAAAAACGTATCAAGTTCAACCGTTGAGATTATTAAAATTCCTGTAGAGAAGTGATTTTCAACTAGATCCATCAATTTATGATAAGCGGTATTAAAATAGCACAACGGTGGCGTATTGCGAGTACAAATATACGAATGCCGACCTGGGATACCTGACAGATTCACATTAGCTACTGCTGATCATAGTAAACTAGTGGTTATGTGTACGGACACAATGGACGTCTACCTACTTATGTGACTAACGGCAGGTTTTCTGATCGAATCTGTTAACAACCTCAAAACCTGACAAATTAGTACTACTCAACCTGGATTTTATCTACAGATACCAAAACTTTAAATGCCAATATGGGATCTACATCGACTTAATATCTAAGTCTACCTACGTTTTCGCTAAAATGAGCCACAAAAGTAATGAGGGATAAAAGTCTAGTGACAAGAATCACTTACAGGGAGAGTTTTCAGTGATCATACAGCACTTACGAAATATATTAACGTCCTCTACGACGTTCTGCGGAATGATTTCCATACGGATGGAAATGTGTGCGAGGTGATAAAACTGCCTGACAGGAGGCATGTTTGTATGATAAAAATAACTGGGCATAAGTAAACCTTAGTGAAGCCATCTTAGGAGCAAATCAACATAGTAATACTATACGATAAGTATGACCGATTATCTCTGACGGGTCATTAAGGTATCAACTTGCGAGACAGAAAACCATCAACTTACAATTGCATTTTTGAACCATTCTGATACTAGAACTACCGACTAAGTTAGGATTTTCTCTAGTACTGGGCTTGATTACTCCATGACTAGTGTCCGGCTGTAACAAGTGATTATTTTAAATAACTTTACATACTTCTATTTCGGAAATCTCCAAGAGGAGATCCTTTTGCAGCCATGATAGATTTTTCTCCACAGGTACACTCATATCTCCGGAAACTATCTCAATATACATTGAAGTCTTTGGCTAACCTTCATCAACAAGACTACGGTTGTCAGTAATGAACTTGAGCATCCTATCTTTTATCCCTCCGGCAACTGCAGTACTTACTGAAGACGAAAATCGAGGTAACAACCTTGCGACAGGGAACACTCGCCTGGTAACATAACCGAAAGCCATCATGTAACTCATGTAAATGACACCTGGCGCCTAATCAAGTGTACGGTACACATAAATGGGATATCCAATATCCAATATCTGTTCACATGATAGTATAAACCAATTGTTTTCTTTTTCATTCGACTGTTGTTCTTTGATAACGGTTCCGTGTGTTTTTAAGTGTCCAATGGTTAGTGGTCTAGCGGCTCAATTGCAATAATTCTAGTCATTTGGCAGTCGTTTGTGAGTTTGCGTGTCCCGTGGTTTTTTTATAAGTACATCTGTTTCAGGAAAGTAGGGTTTCTGGATACCAGCAACTACCAGGCCAGATATCAGTTATTTTCTGTGGAGAACAATCAGGAGAAAATTCCAATGCCGTATAAGAATAAGGCTTCAGAACTTAGTAGATAGATGAACACTTACTAACTGGAATTGAAGATTGTGCAAGAGGACCGAAATGTAAGCGAGGGAAACGAAGCAGAGATAATAAAAAACATATATTAATTAAAGGAGATGGCAATAACAACAACCAACAGGTCTGAAGTCATGCATCATGCAAAGCTTGTCCACGTATATACTGTCTCTTCTTAAAGCTGTCCATTGAGGGTGCTGCGGTCACCTCTGCCATGACAGCATTCCAAGTTGCAACGACTCCTAACGAGAAAAATTGTGCACGAACCTCTTTGACGCGCAATTTTTCGAGGATTACCTAGAGGGGAGTTGTAGTGAGGCATCGGTAAGGTGATCGCGTTGTACGTTACGATCAAATCACCTCTGATTCTCCTGTAATTTAGGGCAATACTCCCAAATGCTTGACTGTAACTTCGTGGGTCTTATTTTTAAACCTTATTATCCATTTCGTGGCTCGTCTTTGCATTCTATCCAGGAGATTTATGTCTTTTTTAAGGACGACGTTTTGACCTTCCAGGTATGGGCTTACGTGTGTCCTAGACAACGTTATGAATAATTCAGTTGTGATAGCACCAAGTTTTCTTCGCATAAAGTGAAGGGCAACATTAGCCTTGACTGCATCCCTTAAGTATTTCGAACTGGTTTGTAAGCAGAATATAAACGACGTGATATTTTAACTGGTTTAATCTTCAAACCGTTTTTCACTGCCCATCCCCCAACTGATGTAAAGTCCGTCCGTGGCTCGTTTTCGACCTGTGTTGACTGAACCTTAGGAGGCCTTTTTCTCGAATTCTTCTTTTGCCTACTGGTCTTTTAGGAGTAGGAATCTAAGGAGTGTCTTCTTGATTTCTATGTCGCGGATCGAGCGGAGGTGTTTGGGTCGAGTGATCTGAGTCATGAACATTATTACAAGGAATGCTGTGGAGTGACGTTTTGAGGTTTTCCACAACCCTGTCGCTCGAAACTGGGACATCTAACCTACTACTGACCCCAAAATTCATATATCTACAGGTTTGCTTAACTATAATAATAATAATAATTTATGCTCAACTAATAACATGTTACAAGTGGCATGACAATTTAGAGGCAAGATCGAAATGTTAAGATTGCTAACATATGTTTTGTAAAACGTTTTTCGGTTACTGAAATATTTCACAAGATACATTGGCTTCGAAAATTTTTCACATAAATTTATGGATAATTTTCGAGACTGCGATGTACAATGCGAATAATTGGCACGAGCTACAACTGTTGTGTTACGACGAACTGCTAGTGACTGCGAGACATTGCAAAATAGAGCCAGGTTTGCATATAACAAAAATAAATGAGGTAAATATTCTAAGACCTAAATTAATATTTTTAATAAGATAAATTTAGGTAAATCAACCAAGTCTTCGGCAAATATCCAGACTAATATTTAAGGAGTTTGAGTTTCTTATAATTGACAGTAGTTGATGAGCATCTAAAGGCTTTTCAATTTATCTGCCTACTAGGAATAAAAACTAAAACTGCCTTGAAAATATGAAAGTAATGACTGGAATTGAAATTTAGAGAAAAGCCCAAATGTCACGGGTTGCACCTCTAAGGCGATACCCATTACTTTTAGTTGGAGAAGGGAGATTTATCTATCGTTTCGTGATACCTGAATGGATGGCAATGCGGGTACAATATGTTCATAGTCTGCAATTACTTTCTAAGGTTTTTCTAAATATTTGGTGGACCATAAAAGAGTGCCTCTGGACTAAGAGTGAGTTCCGGGAATAGTCGGTAAATCTGTTCAGAGTCTAATAACAGCATTACCAGTTTCTTGAACCTAGTGATTGTGTCACAGAAACGGATAGCAAAAAAGTAGTACTTACCTTGTTACTTAACACTAAACCTGAGATACTTAGAGATAAAAAAACGGAATAATAGAAAGAGGAAAAAAAGCTAACTAGGAATTTCGGAAGGAAGAATGTAGCAATATATATATTTAATTTCGCATCAGAATCGCTATGTGATTTCAGAGAGAACATCGAGAAGGATCGGTTAGCTCATAGTTTAGATATTTGAATGCATTTTTCTTACATCCCAAAGTTCTAATTTCGTCATCCTCTTTATAAATTTTGACTGTAGGAATCGAAGAATTTTCGAATATCCACGCGGATATAAGGATAAATAACAATGCGAATTGCCTCATCTGGAGATTATTAACGAGGATAATTATATCGTTGATTTACCCATTTACTTCCCTTTGAATCTAATCTGTGTATGATTGCTGATAAGTAACAAATAATATATGGATAAGTCAAGACATCGGTACGATCGTGTCCATCCCCCGTCCAAAGGAAATATCTACTGGATAGTCGACACCCAGAAAAAGTGGATGAGGGTATAAACTCAAACTTCAGGCAGAAGGAAACTGTTTTCTGAATTCCTGACAGATATAAACTAACCACCAAACTTCGATATTATTTCTCAGTTTTCTTGAATCACTACGGTTTAATATTCTTCAACAACCTATAGACAAATCCTTGATTTGTATGATTCTATGTGGCATTCAAAGAAAGTAGTTGTTGAGCGAATCACGTTTGTATCAGAAAATTGTTGGCAATCGGAATCTAGAGAGCTGTTATCAAGAGTTACTTGCCATAGTCTGGTGGCCTTTCTCAGGACATCGGGAGCAAATGAGAGGACTTGGAACCCGATAAGTAAGGTTACTATAGGGTAATGTCAGTAGATTTTCTTCCGAATGACCTTTGAATTGTTTGTCGGGCTCTGAAGCACATTTACTTTAAACAACTTACATTAAGCAGCTTAATTACTACCATCTGAAAAGCATATGCCCTAACTAAGTCTGAATCAGACATAATATTTTTGTGATATCTTGATGAGTACAGATTTGGTCATTTTGGGCTACATGAAAGCACACCCGTGCTTTCACCTTAATAGGGGATAAGGTTGTCATTCCGCCAACTAGATTGCAAGATTCCATGGACATATATTTGTTTTTTTTTGAGTAATATAGTTCAAAGGGCCGCTACCAACTACACTTAAGTGAATGTAATAAAGCGTGAAATTTAAGCATCGACTGTTACGTGTGTGCTAGTTAACTTGCATTGCCTAGTCATCTCCATTTCAGAATCGATGATACGGCTTACCTACATGCGCCAAATCCACACTCTAAACTCACCGTGCGTTAGGCAACAGCATACAACTGTTCAGACTTTTCAGGGAAACCGGTATTAGGATTCCAACTGTAAGTGAGACTATCTCTAAAAATGATGGTCCTATTATTCATTCTCAATCCAGTATATCGGACCGATGGGTAGAGCACTTGAAGGATTAGTTCGACTGGCCTTCAGCCACATTTCCGTTGCCCACGATCTCCAATAATCCTGAATGGCGAATCGATGTAAGTCGTCCGATTCTATGGAGTTGAGAAAGCGATAGGAAATCTGAAGCAAGGGAGAGCAGCGGGTCCTGATAGATTGACCCCTGAGACTTTTAGGGATGGTGGTTCAGTTTTAACGGTTAGATTGACTGCAACCTTAGGTAGAATCTGGGGACTGGACGTAATCCCATTTGACTGGTCTCAATCACTAATTGTCCCAGTCTATAAGAAAGGACAAAAGTACATTGACCTTATACAAGCTCTCTGCTTGAACTGGTCGAGTTAGAGCAAATGCAAAATTTTTCACTAAGATTGATTTACAACGGCATCTGAACTAGTTATAAGGAGTCAAGTAGTTGAGAATGTTGACCACTTCACTTATTTCGGCAGTCTTATCAGTGCCCTTAGCCAGATAACTGACGATTAGAGTATATTCGTCGTATTCTGTCATAGTTGTCACCGGAACACTACTCATTAATCTTTGGAGTACCGAGTCAGCATTTCAGTTGTTAGGAAATGGATCCTAGGTAAGGATGGTAGATCAATAGATGATGTAATGAAGCTTCATCGATTGATGAGATGGTTGGAACATCTGTTAGCAATCCGCAATGAAATCAACAATGGGTATAAATATAAAAAAACGACTGGGATTACCCATGATTTCATTGCAAGTGATAATGAACCGCGTCGTTCACTGCCGGCCTACTCTGTTATATTGCATGTGGTCAGAAGAAATGATGTTGTTAATAGAGCAGATAAAGCAGGGTATAATTAGCGTCGACCAAGTCAAACCAGTTCATCGAAGCTCATGATCAGTCAGTATATGTAGATCCTCCGAAAACCATTGTATCAATGTAATGCCAGTTCTAGTCATTGACATCAACGGGGAAAATCTCGTTACGACAAGATACGATCGAAGAGTTAGATGTCCGCAGCGAAACATATTTGTGTATTTGAATTAATGATTCTTTCACCGCTTGGAACATGAAATTTTTCCCTCGTAGTTTTGTAGGTGCATGGCGGAAATTTCCTCTCGTATATTATCACATTCGACATATTTTCTACATTTCAATGTCAGTGTATATAAAATTTTAAAAACATCTTATCCTTTTAGTGTTCAGTTATTATCTTATCTAGCTTCCTGGACGTATACAAACTGAAGGTTGTACGTACTTACAATAGCTTGAGAAGTAGTTCTACCTTACACCATACTCTCGTTTTGTGAGGTTCAATATTTTTTTGCTAACTCACACTTTTGTATCCTTGTTTGCTGGGGGAAACTGTAATAGCGATTTCAGCTTGTTTATATTTAATTT